TCTGGCCACAGCCACCTTTACGCTTTGGCCTGGAGCTGCCTTTCTGCCTTCCCATGCTGCCCAGAAGCCTGGAGCAGCTGGGGTGGAACAGAACGCCTGCATTGTCACCATGGCAATAATGCAAGGTGCCTGTGTATGCAAATTAACCTGCCATCTTTGTTGGGTTAATTTGCATACTCCTGATTGGCTGGTGGGCATCTCAAAGGTATGGTCAATTAGAATGTTACTCTTTTATTAGTGTAGATTACCTTTGAATTTAAGAATAAAGTATCTTACCTGGTCAGTGTGGTTCAGTGATTGAATGTCAACCCATGAACCAGGAAGTCACTGTTCAATTCATGGTTTGGGCACATGCCTGGAGTTGCAGGCTCAAACCCCAGTAGGCATCTTATGGGAGGTAGTTGATCGACGATACTCTGTCATCGTTGATGTTTCTATCTCTCCCTCCCTTACTCTTTGAAATTAAAATAATGAAGTATCTCCTTACCCCTGAAGACCCAGCTAAGTTCTATATGGTTCTTAATACTTTTTTGAACTACTTCAGCCTATATTTTGAACAAATATTTATAGAATGCCTTCTATGAGCAGGCAATGGGTGCTTGGCACTGGAGCTACAGTAGCACAGATGGTTACTGCTCACAGAGACTTTGGGGGAGGTGACATCAGTGAGCAATAAACCCAATAAATGCATGGCTACACACTCTAGCTGGCTTCGTGAAGGAAAAGTGCCAGGTGCAATAAAAATACAATATAGCACAATGGGATTTAAACTGGGCAATCAAATAAATCGCCTAGGAAGGAGGGACCTTAGGAGGAGACTGGTAGGCTGGTAGATGGAGCAGGTGAGAAGTGATGGACTGGAGAAGACTTAGACTCTGAGCAGATGCTGAGACAGGGTATTTAGGAACAAAAGGAAGGGCCCTCCTGTAGGAGCTGACCAAGCGAAGGTGAGGGAGAAGCAGGCAGCGGCCTCATTGCACAGGAACAGGTTGATTGGGTCATGACTTTATTTTTGTTTTAAAGAAACAACAGATTTTTTTTTTAATGTTTAATAAAATTGATTTTTAGAGAGGAAGGGAGAGAAATAGAGAAAGAAACACCAATTGGCTGCCTCCTGCACACCTCCCCACTGGGGATCAGGCCTGCCAGTGACCCCTTGGTTCCTGGGTCCATGCTCAACCACTGAGCAACACCGGCCAGGCTAGGTAAAGACTTTCAATCTTACCCCAAATGTAAATGGAAACCATTGAAGCATTTGAGGCAGACAACTGATACAGTCCATGGCCAGAGAGGAGTGGGATAGGAGCGGAATGCATTGGGAAGGTATTAAGTGTGAGAGGATTTGTCCAAGAATAAGAAAGGTTATGCCTACATGTTTATTTTTTATTTTAATTTTATTTTTAAAATATATTTTATTGATTTTTCACGAGAAGAAGAGAGAGGGATAGAGTTAGAAACATCGATGAGAGAGAATCATCGATCAGCTGCCTTCTGCACACCTACTGCTGGGGATGTGCCCGCAACCAAGGTACATGCCCTTGACCGGAATCGAACCTGAGACCTTTTAGTCCGCAGGCTGATGCTCTATCCACTGAGCCAAACCAATCTTGGCTACATGTTTATTTTTTTACTTTTTTTTTCATTTTTTATTAAGGTATTATATGTGTACATATCTTTCCATTGGCTCCACCCCCACCCTACTCCCATACATGCCCTCAACCCCCAGTGTTTTGCGTCCATTGGTTATGCTTATTATGCTTACACGCTTAAATGATGGGGTAGCAATTTCAAACATCTTGACATGTTCTACATGTCCTCCTGCACACATCTCATGCCCTCGATGACTGTGCCCACCAGGAGGAGGTGAAGGGAGGGCCTCACTGGCAGACTCATTTTCTCATGAAGTCAGCATTCCTGCCCCTGACTTGTTTCCTTCTTTCTCATGGAAACTTCCTTTTCCCTCTGGCTTCCACCTACTCGTCACCCCCCTCCCCCACCCACCCCGATGATGGTGACAATACCATCTTAAAATACACACCGACTTACTGTTACTAAAAAAATAAAGTGTTCCTGCATGGATACCTGATTTTAAATTTGTCACCAGTGGCTTGAAGTATATTACTTTATTTTCTGTCACTTTTCTGCCTTGCCCCCTTGCCTCATTCTACAGTGAGACTATAACTTCCCCAAAATCGGGCTCCACTTTTACATTTCTTTTGCAGGTCCCATCATATTTTGCATAGACCTTAGGTTGTCTATAAATGTTTACTGGTGGATACCCCAAAGAGGCTACTCACAAGCTCTTTATCCTTAAGCTAAACATGCTAAGCAGCTTTTAAAAAGGAATGTTTTTGATTAGTTTTCCTATCTAGTTTCACAAAATTATGACTTAAATACACATCTACTAGATTGACATCTGGAGACAGAATGAGGTATTAGTTCTTTTAGAAATAAGATCCCTATATTAGATAATGCCAGCTTTTGGCAAACTTGACAGAAGTAGGTTTGGCAAAAGCTGGCATTATCTATGCTAAATTCCAAGTCAAAAAGCAATATTCTATGCTATGGTGGAATTTGGTGGCATATAAATTATTTGGAATTCTTGTCACTGGGGATTAGAATAGCTGCCTTTTCCAGCTAACTGTACCATGATATCCATTCTAAACCTGTGTGACCTCTTTTCACTATAAAAGAGAATAAATTTAATCAAGACCTCACCTCATCTTCTGCGAAGTACACTGTTTTTGTTTTGTTTTGTTTTGTTTTGTTTGTTCCCAAGCTTTGTGGGATGAGATATTTTTATTGGTAAAGATATTTGGAACAGAAGGGATGCATTTCCATATTTCATCTTTCACTTATTAAGAAATCAGAAGGACAGTGAGACAATAACTACAGAAGTGAGTACATTTCAGTCGATATACAGTGAACTTAATTCAATGAACGTTTATTAAGCATTAACTAAGGTACTAGAAACAGGGCTTGGTATTAAGAATACACATACACACACACACACACACATCCACATGTGAGACAACCTATACGTGTGTGTGTGTGTGTGTGTGTGTGTGTGTGTGTGTCAGTGTTATGTTAGACAAAGAATAGGTTGTCCTTACTGGAATATAGATGGAATTCATCAATCAATTTAATTCAACTCAGTTCAACTGCACTTTAGAAGCCTACACTAGGCCAGGCATAATGCTAAGTACTGGGAATACCAAAATTATAAAGTCACCATTTAAGCCCTCATGAAATTCATAGTTGGCTAAAGTCAGACACTTAGTATATTTAGTAAATAGTAGTTTACTGGTTTAAATGTAAGAGTAAAAATCCTTAGATGATGCTGAAACAGTATTGAGGAGAGATGATAAAGTCTGTATAGTGTGACAATAGTTTGAGGTACTATTTAATTTAATTAAAATATTACTCTGTAATTCTGTTACAAAATGTGTTTAAATTTCAAAATATGTCTGAAAATAACACTGCTCCTTTAAATAATATTCTCTAAAGATAATATTTTAAAAGATTTCACTAATTTGGATAGATAAAACTTTTTTATGTTTCAACAATGGATATTAATAAAAATGATCTTAGTATGTGGTTCTTTTGCTATGTTTATTAACACTATATCTTTGTACATATATTTTACATTTTTACTCTTCCACAAATAACTAATGAATTAATGACAATTTTACTTTTTTAAATCTGTAGATAAATCAAGATAAGAGTTTGTATCTGCCTCTAGAAGGAATAACTCTTTTGAACTCTATGAAGGATATTTCAGCTCTACTAGTAACTTATGTTAGGTTCTACTAATAGAAAAGAAGTTACTGGGATCCTGAGACTATTAAATAATATAATTTTGCCATTCATTGGGTAACTATAAATATTAATAATGGGAGTAAATCAATATAAACAGGAGACGTTTAAATATTTTATTAGCTTCATGTAGATGATAGAAATAACAGAAAATCAAAACAATGGCACAGCAAATTGTTCAAAAGGAATATTCATCAAACATTATTACTGAAACAAAGTTAACATGATTTAATTTATGCCAGTTAATTTTAGCATCTAAGACATGGAGCTATTAGGAAAAAAAGAACTTGGGTTCCAGGGTTTTATCTTTTGTTTGGTTCATATTTTTCTAAAACTTTCAATAGAAACTTACTTTGTGGACTCTCAATGAAGACTGATGACAAGAGTCTATAGCTTAGGCTCTTAGGTTAAGGTGAAACTCCTTTCCAGAAAAATACATGAGGGGGGAAGATATTTGTTTCAAAGGTCATCTAATTATTGATTGAAGTCTCTAAGCCTCAAAATTAACAGTCCTTTTAACTTTCATTCTATAAAGCATTTTGTTGGACCTTAACAAGTTCACTGATTTTACAATTTTCACTGGCAGCAAACTCCTCATATTAACTAGACATATACACAAATTATTTTCCTTCATTTGAAGTCTTCTACCTGTTAACTATAGAAAATTCGTTAGACTTTTGTTATTTGGAGAAATAAACAATACTATCCTTCTCTGTGAGAGTTATCCCCCTTAATTTTTTTAGTGTACTCTCACTCACTTTCCTTTTTTTCCAGAGTGCTAAGCATCAGTGGACTTCTGTTTTCACTAACTCTCTCCAAGAATCAGTTCAACTGACTAGCTTTGGTTTATCATTTGTACACCATATGATGAGGGATCCTTCAAAGAATATTCATGCAGATACTTGATAAACATTTAACAAACTTAACGATAATTCATTTTCTACTTATTCATACCAATGGAATATATCTATCTTATCTTATTATTACTACATCTGTATTTAAGATTCTTTGAAAATACTCAGATCAGAAATTTTTATTTAAGATATCTTTGAGTAAATTATTTTTCAACTACTTAGCACTATTTTATAAGTACCTTTTACTGGTACTGAATTTCATCTAACTAAAAGAAAATACAGACAATTTCAATAAATGAAAAGATGAATATAATTTTATCATTGCTATGATTCTTTATAATTGGTTTAAAAACTTGATGCACTTGAATCTGGAAGGTTTTTGTGAAACTATTCAAACAACCTTCTAAGAAAGGACTTCTTGGCAGGAGTAAGAACTTTCCCAGAACGCTTCTTGTGGAGGGATTTCAGTGGAGGCTTTTTTAAGGGAAGAGCTTGTTTTGGGGTTTGCAGTGCTCTTGCTATCTTCACATGCTCATTGCAGTAATACTTGTCGCTTCCTTGTGACAGCTGGATGAGTGTGCGTTCTGCCAGATCCATGCACTGGGCATGGACCCAGTGCCCATCTCCATGAGAGCAATAGATCATGGCAGGCTTATTTAGCTCAGTTGAATAAAATGGTACCCAAGTGTTGACATTCATATCACAAGTAGAGCAGCATTTGATCCAGTAGCCAGTTACAGACTCATCTTCCTCATCATCTTCATTATAGGTGTCAATGTCGTCATCACCATGGAAACTATTTGCTTCTGCACTGAAACAAAATTCTTCTGAGTCTTCGAATGGTGTTGAGTCGCCTGGGTCTTCTGTTGATGTCTGACTATTGGGGAGCATTTTCTGATCTTCGTTCACATTGTCTCCAGCACATTTCAACATGTAGAAATAGTATGTTTCTGAAACAGCTTGTTTATTGTCTCCTGGTATGCCAAGGAAAATATTTCCATTGCCCATGTTGCTTCCAAACCATATCTTGCTGTGCTTAATATCTGGGGTCCAATCTGGGCTCTCCATCTCACGAATCTTTATTTTGTTGTCCTCAAAAGAGACTACATTGCAGACCATTCTTTTTTGATTGTCAATCTGATAGCCACCCACAATGATAAACTCATCATTATTTGTTTGAGTCACGATTGCACTAGAGAAAGCGATTCCTCCCTGCAAAACTGTGCAATTCACAGCTGGACTACCCAAGGGGAGATCAACCCTTATGCTGTACAGGTTGGCAGAGCGGATGTTATTGGCAAGTGAATGTCCTCCTAAAATATAAACCGTATCATTTCTGGCAATGGAGACATGAAAAGCGAGCCCGTCCTGAAGTTCTGGAAGAACGTATGCTGTAGAGCACCCAAATTCAAAATCCACCAAGAAAACTTGGGGCAGGCAGTCTGTTACAGTATTCCACTTTTCGGTGGTTCTCTGGGCAGAAGATATGTATGACCGCCCTCCAAAGACAACACCCATGCTCTTCCCTCGACTATATACCACATTCATGGAGTGACCATATCTGGCTTCAGGAACATCTCCTACCAAGTCTTTCTCAGTGCAGCGAAAAGTAACTTTTTTGTTGTTCTTGCTCACAATAGACATAACATACATCTTATCTGAAAGCTCATTGTTTGGTGTTTTCCCTCCGTGGATAATGTATTGTTGCTTTTCAGACTCTGAGCCTCCTTTGAGTGTGCAGATAGCTGGGTAGCGAAGAGGAGGAAGGTAGCAGGAATCCTTAGAGAAAACTGCAGGCTTCAGTTTGAGATGGTCATTTTTTACATCAAAATGGAAAACTCCAGTGGGGCAGGACCTCTTGGGCCAGCCTTTCTGGCCAAAGAAGAACACTTGCCCATCAAAATTCAGTAGTGAGAAGCCTGGTTGAATTAAGGCTGTGTTATTACTCACTGTAATCATGTGTAGTGACATATTTTCTGATCGTGGATAGTTCTCTTATCTGAAAGAATTACAAAAAAATAATAATAACTTACTACAACTCTGTATGTAAATAACAGTGTTTTGATCCCCTCACATGAAGAAAACATGTTTTAAACAAAACTTCTTCCACAAGCTTAGTAGTGGGATTGAATTAGCAAAATCCAGGCATTTAGGGTAAGCAAAGAGTCACAGAACCTTCCTGTCTAATACAAAGCAAGCAGCTGGGACACGTTTTAGAGATGGACAACCCTCCCTTAGATTTCTGGGAATTATAGTCCTTTTTTTCTTAAAACCCATCACTCGACGTCAGAAAGAACTACATTTCCCAGAAATCAGTTCTCCATGGGTTGCAAGGCTCAGACAGTTTTCATTGCTCTGGGAAGGAAGACTCCTAGGATGTTTTTCTGAAGGAGGACGTCAAAAGTGCGAAGTGACTGGATTTGGAGCCAGAGCGGAAATCTAGAGATTGGGAGGTGAGAGTGGCTAACGCAGCCCCAACAACCGAGTTAGGGGAGTCTGCAGCACCAGGAGGGGCTGAACCCCGGGGACTCCTAAACTGTAGACCTAGGAGGAAGAAGAGTTGCTCTGGCCCGACTGGGGTTGCCTGGGAAACCGGAGCCTGAAGGACGCCAGGCCGAGGTGTCCTTGCAGATGCAGAGAGAGGGCTGCCTGATGCGGTGGCGCTCCGCAAAGAATCGCACCCCTGAGCATCCTCAGGTTGCAGGGCTGGGAGTTCAGTTCAGGGAGGCACCGAGCACCGAGGTTAGAAAAGCCCTGACTGTTTGCAGAACCGAAAGGCGAGTCTCAGAATATCTGGCGTGCAGGGCAGAAGCGACCTGGTAATGATTTTTTTTTTTTTTTTTTTTTTTTTTTTTTTTTTTACCACTCTTATATGTAGTCATGAAAATATACAGTAATTAGCCGAAACCGGTTTGGCTCAGTGGATAGAGCGTCAGCCTGCAGACTGAAAGCTCCCGTGTTCGTTTCCTGTCAAGGGCATGTACCTTGGTTGCGGGCACATCCCCAGTGCGGGGTGTGCAAGAGGCAGCTGATGGAGGACTCTCTCATCGATGTTTCTAACTCTCTATCCCTCTCTCTTCCTCTCTGTTAAAAATCAGTAAAATATATTAAAAAAAAGAAAAAGAAAATATACAGTAATTAGACTTTAAGTGAGTGCCACGTCAAAGGCATTTTGTTTTCTCACCTGCCCTTGCTCTGGTTTTTAGGGTTCTTTTAGGAAAGCAGAGAAGATTCCTAAACCATTCTCTCTCTTTCTCTCCCTCCCTCTCACTTCCTCCTCCTCCCTCTCCCTTTCCGAAAATAGAGTTAGTGACTGTTCATTCAGACCTCTCTTTCCAGTCCAAAACATTTGAAGTAATTCTTTAGTAACCCTTAAGCAGGCATTAAGCTGAGAGGTGCCACAGTTATTCAGGATTTCATAATTGTATCACAACATTTTTTCCAAAGGTATTTACTAGATGAAGCAAGCTTGGCGAATTTTTATTTTTATTATTATCACCTACCTTAGAGAGATGTCACGAGCCTTAATGAGAAGCACCTTCTCTGTTTGCAGAGTGAAGTTCTAGGAACAAGAGAAAGGACACAAAATGGCACCGATTCCTTGACTTTTAAGAACAAATTATTAATATACTTCATAAAACAGTGGCTAAGAGTATGGACTCTGAAGGCTGACTGACTGCATTCAAATCTTGGCTCTGTCACTTACTATGTGAATGTGGGCAAGCAATTTGAGGTCTCTTTGCCTCAGTTTCCTCATGTGTAAAATGGGATAATTATTTTACCTACTTCATAGGTTGATAAGTCTCAATTAATAAATTAATCACCTACCTTAGAGAGATGTCACGAGCCTTAATGAGAAGCACCTTCCCTGTTTGCAGAGCGAAGTTCTAGGAACAAGAGAAAGGACACAAAATGGCACCGATTCCTTGACTTTTAAGAACAAATTATTAATATACTTCATAAAACAGTGGCTAAGAGTATGGACTCTGAAGGCTGACTGCATTCAATTCTTGACTCTGTCACTGAGTACGTGAATGTGGGCAAGCAATTTGACGTCTCTCTGCCTCAGTTTCCTCATGTGTAAAATGGGATAATTATTTTATCTACTTTATAGGTTGATAAGTCTCAATTAATAAATTAATGCACACAAATAAAGGACTTAGAACAGGACTTTGCACACGGTAAAGTTGTTATGATTATACTTGAACTTATCAAAAGTAAGGTTGTTAGTACACAGTTACCTGCTGCTCATGGCCCATTATATTTATAATACCGGAGGTGATTAAAAGGGCTTTAGGATTCGGGAATCTGGTCAGTAGGTATAGACTGGTAATTATTTTTAGACTAATGGGAATTGGATAAGCATATGCAATGGAGATGCGGGTGATGAGTTCAATTTAGATAAAAGGAAATATTTCATCCTTCTTGTTACCTTTTCTGTAACCCCTCATTAAATATGCAAGTTTATATTGGATTGTCTGAGTTCTAGTCTGGGCTCTAAAACTATTTGCTCCAGAACCATCTTGGGCAAGTTATTTCCCCTCTGTCTTTTCATATTTGTAAAATGAGGATAATATTAGTATCTGTATATTGGTTTTAAAATTATATTTTTATTGATTTCAGAGAGGAAGGGAGAGGGAGATAGAAACATCAGTGATGAGAGAAAATCATTGATCGGCTGCCTCCTGCACATCCCTTCCTGGGGATTGAGCCCTCAATCTGGGCATGTGCCCTTGACTGGAATCGAACCCGGGACCCTTCAGTCCACAGGCCATTGCTCTATCCATGAGCAAAACTGGCTAGGGCTACATCGGGTTGCTTTGAAGATTAAATGGAGTAATGTAAATCCCTGTGTATGTAAATCTCATAGCACAGTGCCTGGCAAATAATAAGTATTCAGTAAATGTTAATACTGTAATTTGTTTTTACCCCCTCTCCCTCCAAAGGTATCTGGGACCACTTAGAATGTATGGTCAGTCTGAGATGTTGGTGGGGGTTTCTGCCTTGATGCACTTCTGTAGATAGATGTAATTAATTGATAAATATCCTTTCTATCCATTAGTTTTAGTTGGGAGGGTCCTTAAGGTGAGATCTTTTAATACTCACCCTGTGGGTTATTAAACCAAGTGAGAAATGAATGGTAAATGAGACGGGCTGTTGCTAAAGTGACGAAAGCAAGCCTCCCTCTTCCTCAGACCACAGTGGTTTGTGGGTTCAGCAGCGTGCCCTGCTTTTGAAATAAGCAGTTTTCTTTCTTTGTGGCCTGTCCAAGTATAGATAAGAGCAGGCATCTGTGCCACTAAGACAATGGAAAAGGAACTAAGAGGAAAAACTGTTGACCCTTAATTCTGTAAATGCAAACCCTAAGTGATCACTCCCAGCATACTGTGCGATGATGGGCACAGAGTCACCACTTTTGTGGGGACGGAGTGCTGGAGCCAAAGCCCGTTTGTTGTAAACACTGATGAAGGCTGTTACGGGGATATAAAGCAACTCATTCAGGGAGCACATACGCCAAGAACACTTGATTTTAAGCAGCAAGCTTTAAAACCTGTTTTCATTATAGCCTGTTGTCTTCATGTTAAGCTTGTCATAGGGATATTGGTTGCTCATAAGTGAAAGCATGATTAACATAGATTAAACAGAACCTTTTTCTTGGGCAAGGCATAAGGCATACTACCCAGCCCTGACTGATTTGGCTCAGTGGATAGAGCGTCGGTTTGTGGACTCAGGGATCCCAGGTTTGATTCCCATCAAGGGCATGTACCTTGGTTGTGGGCACATCCTCAGTGGGGGGAGTGCAGGAGGTGGCTGATTGATGTTTTCTCTCATCAATGTTTCTAACTCTCTCTACCGGTCCCTTCCTCTCTGTAAAAACATCAATAAAATATATTTTTTTAATAAGGAATACTACCCATTTTTGTAGCTTAGTTCAGATTCCTAGGGACTTTTGACCTTTTCTCTCTTTGATGCCCTGCCATTGGCACACCTCATCATTTCAGGGACCTACTAGAAAAACAATGCTGGAGCTTACTTCTGTTAAGATGAATTACCGCCTCTTGTAACGCAATTCAACTATTGGTGTACTTAATGTTCGATTACCCATAATTAAACCATGACCAGATGACTTAGGTAGGTAAAGAACAAAAAATAAGGAATATTAAAGGCGTTGTCACATTATTTTGCAATACTTATTTAGTTTTTGAAATTTTGCTTTATTCGCGTAAATACATTTTTACTAGAATGGACTATTGTATATTTTCCTTTAATATGACTATATTAGTGACATCTTTTCTTGTAAGAGTTTTTAAAAGGTTATACCAGAATTAAAATAACTAACTTGCATTCAATAGGCTAGATAAAACAGGCAGCTTTTGAAAAAGAAGACAGTGCTCTTCAACTGAAGGAAGTTTCAAAGTCAACACATTCAGATTTTTTTTTTTTAAAGACAGAACTAAAGGCCCAATAGACTTAAACACCAACGCCAAGCTAACGTTTTTCAGCAGGAAGAGGTTCGTTTGCTTATGCACCGTGAAGCCAGGGCATAGCTGCGAATCAAAAGCGGACTGAGAGCGTGACGTCTGGGTTTGTAGTTTCTTGTGCCTGAATGGACTCTTTGCTCTCCAAGAAAAACCACCGTACTCCGAAGCATGAAACCTTACTCATCAGCGTTGCTAATGTTTTCCTGATTGCTCAAAAACAGCAGGTGACCTCATGCTTGGATTAACCGTACCTGGCGCGGTTAATCGGCTTTGAGACATCCATGACCTGATTTTTTATTTTTTTATTTTTACTTTTTGTGTTGCTGGCAGTCAAACCAGAATTAGGTCTTCCTTGTGACATCGAGGCCAGCGAATTATTTCTGCCCTAAGATGAATGAATACCTGGGCTCTGATGCCACAGGAATTAAATTCTTGCAGCAGCTTGAGACCAGAAGGCCCAGGAGTTTCCAAATTTGACATCATCCCTTC